TTTTTTTTATATTTCAGCTTTTTAAAAAACTTTTTAAACCTTTTTGTATTAAACTAAGATATATCTGTTAGCCTCATCCTACTGGGATCAGAATTATCTGTATCTTCCATCTCTATATCTTGTCTTCTATCTCTATATCTTGACCCAGTGGAAGATGAGTTAGAACAACATGAGGTGAAATCATGCACAAGAGAAAAGCGTTGCAGTCGTTTTCATTGGTAAACATAAAATGCATGAAGCTGCTTCTAGTGGCATGTTTTTACTTTAGGTTTTTGCCTTTGAGCATGTGTACTCACCGGAGATTGAGAAGGAAAGTGAAAAATCATCCTCCTAGGAGGATGGCCACACCACAATCCATTCTCCTCCATTCTCCTCTCAGCATTTAAGGTATGCATAGACACAAGCCCAGCATGCTTTTCAAGTTACTGGGTCCAGGGCTGGAACCACCATCTGTTGTGTATTAGTCCAGTGCTTCATTCATCATGCCACATGCTGGACCCCAGTGGCATATTTTTTTTTTTTTTTTTTAAGTTTTCTTTTAGAATTATTTATTTAGGGGACTAGCAGGTGGAATAATGGTTGGATTGTTGGACTGTGGTTTGAGTCCTGGACCTGGTGACTTAAAACTTGTGCCAGGTGTTTGTGCATGTGTGCATGCCCAAAGGTGAGGTGACTGGAGAAGGGCTTGTGGTGTGGCCATCTCCCCAGGTGGGGGTAATTTCTGTCTCTCTGTCTCTATCTCTTTGACCAGTGCTCGCGTCCTATAGCAAAAATCTCTCTAAAAAAATTATTTATTGAATTTTATTTATTATTATTTTAAAACTTTGCTGTAGGGCACATGCACTCACCAGAGAGAGTCTGAGAGAGAGAGAGAGAGAAAGAGAGAGAGACAGACAGACAGACAGACAGAAATGAAAAAGAAAGCAAGCCACCAGATAAGGGATTCAAACCACAGTCAGTCATGTGAGAGTATAGTGCCTTAACCACCACACCACCTGCTGTCCCATAGTGGCATACTTCTTTATGGATAAGTTTTTAGTAACTAGGAGTATACGTGAAGACAATAATGAAAAGTATAGTAAGAATGTAAACCAGTTAACATAGTTCTTTACTATCATTTTATCAAGTGTCATGTATTGTATGTAGTCATATGTATTTTATATAGTTGGAAGCACAGCATCACCACAAATGCGAGTAATGTGATGTATTATGTGACTTCAACAATGATTTTGTCACTAGGCAATACTTTTTTAAGCTCCTTTATAATCTTATAGGATCACCATCATATATGGGATTTATTGTTGATGGAAATGGCATTGCATGATTAATTTTAACTGACTTACTAATTTGTAAAACCCATTATTTCATATGCACTATAATGTTACACCTTTAGTTTGCAAAACAGAAAGGCAGCCCTTGATCCCTTTGTGTGAGTTTAAAATATACCATCAGTGCAAAGTAGTGGATGTAGTGCTAAGGAACTTACAGATGCTCTGAAAAACAATAGGGAATAATTGCCCCCCAAAAAGAGTTGACTGTGATTTTCAGAAAGTAGGAAGGAATGGGTTTTACAAATTAGGAAGTCAGCTTTGTTACCAAAAATTTACAGAGATTTTTCAGATACTTGGTTTGTTAATATTAAATAAAGTGAGACCAGCAGGTGGCGTAATGGTTAAGTTGCAAGACTCCCTCATGGCTGACAGCAGTTTGAGTCTGGACCTGGCGGCTTGAAACTCATGCTGGGTGTGTGTGGGTGCATGCCCAAAATCTCGAGGATTGTGAAGGAAAAGGGATTCTCGTGTAGCTGTTCCCCTAGGGGATGATTTCACACTTTCTGTCTTTCTGTTTTTCTGGCAAGCACACATGTCCTATAGCAAAAATCTTTCTCTAAAAGCAAAAAAATTTTAAAAAGCATTAAGGAAGAACTCTTACTAGAATATATCATGTTAAATACCCTCGTTTCTTCTTTTGTATGTTAAGTAACACTGTTTTGTCAAATGGTATGGGCATTGTTTAGGCACTGTAAGTTGATATCAGGTAAGATACTGAAGTATGCATTGGTTAAAGTAAAAATTTAAATGGAGAGACAAGCAAATGGCATAATGGTTATGTTGCTGGACTTCCACGTAGTTGACTGTGGTTTGAGTCCCAGACCTGGTGGCTTAAAACGCATGCCAGGCACTTGTGCTTGAGTGCCTAAAATCCTGAGAGGAGTAGGAACTACAGCATGGCCATCCACCCTGGCAGGGGTGGTGGTTTCTTGCTTTTCATCTCTCTGTCTCTCTTGGTATCTCTGGCAAGTGCACGTGCCCTATAGTAAAAATCTCTCAAAAAAAATTTTTTTAATGGATTTGTAGGGGGCCAGCAGGAGGCATGGTGGTTGAGGTATATCTGACGGCAGTTTGAGTCTCAAACCTGGTGGCTTGCTTTCTCATTTTCTTTCTCTTTTTCTCTCCCTTTGGTAAGTGCACAAGCCTTATAGCAAATAAAATAATGAATAAATAAATGAATAAATAAATGAATGAATGGATTTGTAACTAATTGACATAGCATAACAAAATAAATGGCTTAGAAACATTTGTGAGGGAGACTAATGGAGGGCCACAGGGTTCTCTGTCTCCACCTCTATTCAAGAAGGGTAACAGAAGCACCTGGAAAGATAATCTGGAACATTAAGTTGAAAACAAAATCAAACGAACAACATTTATATAGTTCTGCTTTTAGGTGAAAACACAAAACAATAGTATAGCTATATCATAGGGGATACTTGATTTGATAGCAGTTCATCTAGTAAGATTTCCGACTTGGAGTGGTGAAGGAGAACAAGAAGATAGGCTTAGTCAGCCAGAAGCTTATTTTGGAATAATCATGTGATGTGGCTTTTAAAAACTATAACTTAGGGACCAGCAGTTAGCGTAATGGCTATGTCACTGGACTCCCATGTAGTTGACCGCAGTTCGAGTCCTGGACCCAGTGACTTAAACTCACGCCAGGCCCAAGATCCTGAGAGGAGAATGGAAGGGTGGAAGGGATTGCGGCATGGCCATCTTCCCTGGGGCGGGGGGAGGTGATTTCTCGCTTTCTGCCTCTCTTTGTCTTTCTGGCGAGCGCAGGAGCCCTATAACAAAATCTCTCTCAAAACAAACACACAAAGAAACAAAAAAAACCCTGTAACTTAGACATGATTGCTGCTTTAAAATATTCAAAGATCTCTCTTGTCAAAGTGAGTCTAGAAGAGTTCTGGAGAGAAAGGTTTTGGCCCACCTGTAGAATGGGCTTCCTTCACAAGTACCTCATCGGCTTTTATCAACGATAATAATTAGGCCAAGGTTGAACCACTGTCTCTAATATGAAAGCGATCACAATATGGGTGGAAGGTCGAATTGGATCTAGGGTTTCTTTCAAACTTTACTGTCTGATTCTAGGGTAGGCCCCATAGTCTAGAGGTTAGTATGAGCAAAATTCCACATGGCTGTCCACATTTCATATCCAGACCCTAAAGGCATGTTTGAAAGCATGCTGGGCACGTGTGCATGCATCCCCAAAATCCTGGTGGGAGAAGGGATTCTGGTGTGACTACACCCCATTGGGTAGTGCTTTATACCTTTTCCTCTGTGTCTCAGTTTTTTTCTAGTGAGTGCATGTACCTTCTGGCAATTTAGAAATCTGATTCTGTTCCTTCTTTAATAGAAATTCTCAATTATTGGACACTTAAGTTACAGGAAGAGATGATGTGGTATAAAGGAATGACCACTTAACTGTCCTATTTCATGTACTTTTTAGCACCCAACACATTGGCACAGAGTGGACTCTGAATGTTGAATGAATGGCTCTATCACTTGGGTAGATGTCTCTCTGAATAGCCAGGTTGAGAAGTTCATTTAATGTTGACATTTGTTAACTTACCTGTAAAACATAGTTGGAGTAGATGACTTGTAAATGTCTTCTAGTGCCAACATTTTTTTTGGCCGTTTGTTTGCTCATTTACTTAAAGAAGTTCCGAGGTATGGGAGTTTGACCTGGGAAGGAACATACTGGCTGTGATTTTGATTTTATTATACTTTGAAGAAGAGGTAGAAAGGTATATGGGGGAAAGCCCTCTTGGAACAAAAGAGAGTGTTTTCTAGAATTGAATATTGAGATTTTTTTTTTTTTAATTAAGAGATTTTTGCTATAGGGCACATGTGCTTGCCAGAGAGACAGACAGAAAGCAAGAAATCACCCCCTTGGGAGGATGGCCACGCCACAGTCCCTTCTCTATTCTCTTGTTGGGATTGTGGGCTTGCATGCACACGCACCCGGCGTGAATTTAAAGCAGCCAGTTCCGGGACTCAAACCACAGTCAACTATGTGGCAGTCCAGCAGTGTAACCATTATGCTGTCTACTGGTCCCAAATATTTAGATTTTAAAATGGTTTATGATGATGAAAAATTACTAAGCTATTTAGGTTAGCTAATATTTTATAATTGTTATAAAATAAAACCTTCCAATTTCACAGTACTTTGAAAAATGTTGGAGATTACTGGTTATACTAATATTAGAGGTATTGGGCAATGAAATGATAGGTTTCTCATTACTTTTTATACTTCCTGTTTATATCTATTAGAAGCTTTTATGGTAAATGCTAACATAATCTAATGTATTATTTCCCCAGGTCATAGAATTTTTTTAATAATTTAACCATAACTAATAATAAAATCCCATTTTTGTAGTGTTTTACAGTTTGATTGCCTTCACAAGCATGTTGTTTGATCAGATAGTGAATTAGTAATTAATTAGTGTAGTATATATTACTCCCTATTTCATAGGTGAGAAAATAAGCCTTGAGAGGTTAAATGCCTTAGGTTGCATAGTTTGTGAGGATCTAGAATTAGAAGTTAGTTCTTCCGATTACAAGTTAGTACACTTTTCTTCTGCATCACATTGCCTCTATCTAGCACCTGTATATTTCTAACTGATGAAATTGTAGCACGTTAAATTGTTTCTTGATACTTCACAGCTGGCAGACACACCAAAATCTGAAAGATATGAGCATGTTCTGGAGGCATTAAATGATTACAAGACCATGTAAGTTGACTTATTTTATGTATCCCTATGAGGGAGACATTTAGTATAAGGAATAATGACCTTGTTTAAGAATTGTGGGATTGTTATACAGAACAAGTACATACCACTTCAAGCTTTCTAATGTCCTGTTCTCTTTCAGTTAGAGTAAAGCAGTGATTTTCGAGGGTTGGAGAAGGGGGAAGAATAATCCTCCAGGGAATGGTGTGTGGGAAACATCAGTATCTCAGGAGAATTTGGCCTGTTTCTCTGTTGAAAAAGCCTATTTAATAATAACTTACTTCTATAATATAGAGTACTGAAAGTAAAATAAAATCTTGTTACCTGGTGGGAATATGTAAAAGATGAGAACATGTTGTCAAGAATATGAGATTTTGGAAAAAAATTAAATATCGAGATCTTATATGGTTTTGCCATTAGTTACAGAAAAGTAGTATTACCGGTCAGAGTTGTCTAGGATAATTAAATGATACTATTTCATATATTCTTATATAGATTTACTTCCCCCTTTATAAAACTAGCATATCTACATTTCTTGGGATGTTTTTGAATGCAGTAGAAATTTTATAAACATATATGGTGACTTCAGCAAACTTACTGAATTGTAATATATTTGTAATAAGTTGTTATTTTGAATTTGTCAATATTTCCTCATTAAATAATGTTGTAATTATTAGTGGCTGTATCATTAGACTGGCTCAAAGAACCATAAGCTATCTGGGCAATTATTGTACTGGTAAAAATATTTTATGGGACACTGAGGTCGGAATTCCAACTTAGGGTACATCTGTTCTTTTTATGGTGGCACTTGGGGCTCCTCTTCTTAAATCTGCATAAAAGTAGAACATTCCAAACAGTTGGTAGAGATTCTTGTCATTGGGCAAACTACAATAACTAATAAGTTAGTTGGAAGTATTTGGAAATAAGGACCCTAAAGAAGCTAAAGGGAAGAGCTAAAGAACATACTATTTTTCAAGGGCCCAACACCACATTCCAGTGAATTAACACTTGTCTGCCCGAAGTGGTTTCCAATTCCAGGGGTAGCACACTAGATACTCCTGTTCTTTTATTTTCTGGTCCTTTCAGATCGGTCTTCTACTTTCTTTTTCAATAATGTCCTCTATTATTTCTGACCAGGGTTTCTCTCCTCACAGATCTACTCTGACAATGAATTCTTTTCCTAAATCTTTTTTGAGATACTTCAAACAGATGACAAAATATGGAAAAACATATTGGAACTAAAAAGATAACTTTCTTTGCCCTTCTTCCTTCCTTTAAAAAGTTAAATGCACCATTGAAAAAGAAAAGTAGACATATGCTCATCTCCCTTTTGTTTCTGTCCGTTCCCTCCATCATATCCTACTGTGATCTAGCTCTGGGCAGGTAAGAATCAAGGAGAACCAGGGAAATGAGATTTTTTGTAGTATTGGGTGGGCTTTTGTGGATAAGGGCCTTATATTTGAAAGTTATGAGTTAGGGTAGGGTCTGCCATTTGTATGTATTCAGTGTTTAAAATTTAGGTAATTTTTTTAAAAATTTAGGTTTATGTCTGGGAAAGAAATAAAGAAGAAGAAGCATTTGTTTGGGTTACGAATTCGTGTTCCTCCTGTGCCACCAAATGTGGCTTTCAAAGCAGAAAAAGAACCTGAAGGAACATCCCATGAATTTAAAATTAAAGGCAGAAAGGCATCCAAACCTATATCTGATTCAAGGTAAAAGTTGATCTGTGGTTAGTTTTTCTCTTTAGCTTATTTATAACTAAAAATGTATGTCGTTTAGTATCATTAGTATATTTGAAAGTACACATGGCAGCTATCCTGACACTGTTTTTTCCTGTCTGTAATTTTCTTGCTTAGACAAGGTTCAAAGAATTGATGCTAGATGTTTATTTTTTCATTTGTTTATTTTAGGTCTTTGACCTTCTAGGAATGTACTCTGTTGGGACCAGCAGTTAGCATAACAGCTATGTTGCTGGGCTCCCATGTAGTCGACCGTGGTTTGAGTCCCGGACCCGGTGGCTTAAAACTCACGCTGGGTGCATGTGCATGCGTGCGTGCCCAAGATCCCGAGAGGAGAATGGAGGAGAAGGGATTGCGGCGTGGCCATCCCCCCTTGGGGGGTGGTGATTTCTCGCTTTCTGTCTCTCTGTCTCTTGTCTGTCTGTCTGGTGAGCGCACGCGCCCTATATAGCAAAAACCTCTCCCAAAACAAAACAAAAAAAGGAATGTACTCTGTTGATTTTGCTAGTGAACAACTTAAGTACTGGTCTGTTCTTTTGTTTATTCATTTATCATTCATTCATTCATTCATTTGTTTGGCACATTCATCAAGCACTTCATTATCTAAGCACTGGGGATAGTGTCAAAAGACAGATTTTTTTTTTTTCTCCTGCCCTGACGGTTTACATTATAGTTGGGAAGAAGTGTGATGATCAATTAAGATAAGTACAGATCTTGTCAGTGCCATTTAGGAAAGATGATACTATTTTAGATTTTATTGGAATGGATAGAGACAGAAGCCTTATACTTTAAAAGGAAGGGGCTCAGGGAGAACTATTGATATTTAAGATAATATTTAAGCTGAGACTTAAAGAACAAGAAGGTTTTAAAATGTGAAGAACAAAGGTGCTTCAGGTAGTATAAATAACAAGTGTGTAGGCCCTAAGATATATTCAGGGAACTCACAGAAAACTAGGAACAGTGTGTATGAATGAAGAGAGAGAGCAGCATCAGGTGTTGAAAGGTTTGGGCAGGGCTTGATTATGTAGGGTTTGTAAGGAGTTGGGGGCTGTTTTCTAAAGATCATGGGGAGCCTTAAAAGATGAAAGTATATTTAATTATTTTTTAAAAATGTTTTTAGATGCTATTTTAGAAATGGATGCTAAATAGGTAAGAGTAGAAAAAGGAGAAAACTAAGGCTCCTGCAGTTGTCTAAGTGAGAGATGATAGTTGTTTGCAGGTGGTAACTTCTAAATGGAGAGAATTTCTGCTGGAGGCAGAATTGATTAGATATGCTAATCAATTACCTTTATGGAAGAAAGGGAGGAATCTGATTAAATGATATAGCCCAGATTTCTGATATGAGCAATTGGTGGATGGTAGTGTTTGTTACCAAAATCTGGAGAGCAGATTTTGAGATGGTGAGTGAAGAGTTCTGTTTCATATCCATTTAGTTTGAGACTCTTATGAGGGTTACCCAACTTGAGGATATGAGGTAATAGACAACTGAATGTCTGAACTAAGAATTCATAGGCTAGGTCACAGTAGGTGATACCAACTTGCTGAATTTTTTAAAGGTGATTTTTATTTTAAAGCTATATTATGAAATTTCCTATGGAGCAGGTAGAAAGAGACTGTGGCACAAAATAATGCCTTGATATCACTTACAAATTTAGAAGAGGTGCTATAAACAAAGGAGCCGATAAAAGGAATGATCGGTGAGATTGGAGGGAAGCAGGAAAGCTTGGTGCCATTAAAACCAAAAAAAAAACGGGAGAGTGTTTTAAGAAAGATGGGTATTGATTAAACTATTGATATATTGAATTCTAGTGAGAGGTGGATTAAGATGAGAGAAAATGTCGAATAAGGTAGCATTTTAATATTAGTGACCTTGCAAAAGCAATTTTTTCAGCAGAGTAGAAAATGCCAGATTGGAGTGTGTTGAAGGGTCATTAATGCCAGCATTGCCTAATTTATACATCAGAACTGGGCTTTTATATATGAGGGACATAGGCATAGTTAAAGTAATAGTAATAATAATGGAAAAGGGGAAAAAAGTAAACCAAGAATTCTGAATGAGAAGAAGTGGAAGGTTTATTTGTCCTCAGCTCTCAGGTTTTACTGTGAAGGGAAGCAGACAAATGAAATGGCAGCTGAAGAAGGAGATGGGACTGGCCAAAAGATGTTTTTTAAAAATAGACGGAAGAGAATTGAAGCCTGCTTTTGTGCACTGGTAAGAGTGACCCGCTGTAGAAGAAGAGCTTGGTATTGGAAGAGAGGAGATAATTATAAAGTCTTTTAAGAAGCCAAAAGGGGAGAAATCTATATTAGTGTTTAATGATAGGAATGACCTTTGATAGAAGAAACACCCTTTTTGAAATGGGGTGAAAAGGAGATGATGAGTACAGATGTCGGTTTTGTTGTAGATTGGGCAGTTTGAAGATGAGTATAGTTCTTACCTTGCTAGCTTCTATTTTTTCAATGAAATATGACACAAAGATAGCTAAGGGTGTTATACAGAGAGGGAAATTTGAATAAATAAAAGGTATGTAATAGTCATTTTGGCAAGTAAAGAAAATGTAATTACAAAGTAGTGACAATATATCATAGTCACTTAAAGTTTCTAATGAAGTAGTGCTATTATAGTGATTTTCCTAAAGGAAAGAATACTTAATATCACTTTGAAGTTTTATCACTGATCCTTATCTACCATTGTCTATATTATAAATTAGATATAAAAAAATACTGTCTAAGAAATTCTCTGTCATTTCTATCTTAATTTTGATAGGATGCTCCATCTCTGGTAGCTATCAGGTCATCTGATAAGGGCTTAGCTTTATCTATCTATCTATCTATCTATCTATTTATTTATTTATTTTTTGCATCATCATTTCCTTTTGGGGCCTGTGTATGTATTGGTCCTTTTAATTTGAAAGTACTTTTAGGTTCCAGGATCCTTCATCAATGCTGTATTGTTCATGTTTCAAGAAAATGTGTATCCATTCATCTAATCCTTGAGATCTTTGATTATAGATCTAGTTCTGCTTTTTTCTAGCTTCTTTACTTTCTTTTTCCTCATACTTTTACCTTTATTTTCTCTGTTCTTAGTTTGGCATCAGAAGTGGGTAAAGTTTTTCCTGGTTTTCTTGATTTACCTCTTTCTAGCTTAATACATTATGGTTCTTTTTCTACTTTTTAATTGAATTTGCAGTTTAATTTTCTCGTAGCACTTATCTAATTTTATTAGTTTGTTTATACCTTTGCTACCTTCTAACTATAATATATTGTGAACCCCTTAGCACAGGGGACATCTTTGTTTCTGTGTTTTTTAGATAAGCCCTTTATGTGTTAGCTATTGCTTATTGAACAAATGAAATAAGATGTTCTGTATATTGCTATTTTCCCTTTTGTCCTTCCATGCTACTTATTGGAGAGATCCTTAACGGTTGTACTTTTTTCCTTCCTTTTCCTTGGTATTTGGCTTCATGCTTCAGAAACCGTTTTCTAGGTCTTTTTAATTTTGCTTGTTGAGTAACTCCTGCCAATGTGAAATATTCTTATTTCTTTCTCCTTCATATTCTGCCACCCTTGGGCTTTGTTCTCTTTCTGTTAATGTCATTGATGAATCTATATGTATTTTTATCTCTAAAGCCAAATTATTGATAGCTACTATAATTTTAACATGGATACTTCCTGGCTCCTTGAGGTTAACTGCTAGTCATCTTTCGTAGTAAATTCTTGAAACATTCTCCCAAATCATAATGACCTAAACTAAATAATTGAACTTTTAGTTAGGAGTTTCAAAATTCTCTATCTAGTATAGTTGTCTATTTTTTTGTCATCATTTTGAATCTTTAGGTGGTATATATTTTTCAGATTTATATTGAAGAGAGTATGTTCTCCTTGAAACTCTCATAATGTAAATATCTATTAAGTCAAGAAATATTTGTTTAATTTAGAGTATATTACTATATATGTGACTGAATTTGTAGATTTCTTGTATTTATGCAGTTTATCTTATATTTAATGCAGTTTTTCATTATTAACATAAAGTACATGTTTATATCTAATAACACATGTATCTTTTTGTTTTCTTTTTTAAGAGATGAAATACATAATGGTTTTCTGTTTTAGGGAAGTGAGCAATGGTATAGAAAAAAAAGGAAAGAAAAAATCTGTAGGTCGCCCACCTGGCCCATATACAAGAAAAATGATTCAGAAAACCGTTGAACCATCTTTGGTAAGAGAACATATTGGTCTATGTTTGCAGAGAGGAAGGATGTATGAAATAATTAAGAAGCTACTATTTTTTCAACTTACTTTAGAACCATGCTTTAATTATGTATATTTTTATTTTCCAGGATAAGGAATCACTTTCAGAGAGTCCTACTTTGGAATTACCTTGTTCTATAGGGTAAATAGAAAAGTATTTTCTCCTTTCTAGGAGTTTTTTGGGTTAGGGAGGAATTAGTATTTCTATGTTGTGTAATATAGTGGTTATACCATTTAAATTCTTTTGTCTCAGGAGAACTGAGGGAACTGCACATTCATCCAATACCTCAGATGTGGATTTCACGGGTGCTTCCAGTGCAAAAGAAACTACCTCGTCTAGTATTTCCAGGCATTATGGGTAGATACTTTACATTCTTATTCTTTACTAATCTCCTTATAGATTCTTTTTCTTCATAAAGCAATAATTGCGTAATTTTTACTACTTCAAAATTACATAAGGTAACTAGCAGATGGTGTAATGGTTATGTTGCTGGACTCCCACATACATTGCTGACCGTGGTTTAATTCCCAGGCCCAGTGGCTTGAAGATCACACTGGGCACATGTATGTGCATGCCCAAAATCATAAGAGTAGAATGGAGAAGGGATTGTGGCATGGCCGTCCCTACTGGGGAGCATGGTAATTTCTTGGTTTCTGGCTATCTCTCTCTTGTCTTTATGGCAAGTGCACACGCCCTATAACATAAATCTCTCTAAAAATATATATATATATATATGTTGTTTAGCTTTTTGAGAATCAATCCTATGTAGATTCCCTAAGTTATTTCATCTGAATATTTTCCCATATCAGAACAAGCATTAAAGTTTTTCAAATTTGTTGTGTGAATAGAGAAGAATATACTAGGGTTTAGAAGCTTCTGTGTTCTTTTTTTTCTAAGCCTTTTTTAAAAAAAATATTTACTTATTAATTTCATTTGTTATTATTTTTTAATTTGACCAGAAAGAGAGAGAGAGAGAGAGAGAGAGAGAGAGAAAGAAAGAAAGAAAGAAAGAAAGAAAGAAAGAAAGAAAGATAGATATAGGGAAAGTGAGAAAGCAAGCTGCCAGGTCCAGGACTCTAACCGTGGTCAGCCATGTGGAAATCCAGCACCTTTAACCACGCCACCTGTCGGCTCCATTAGGCCATTTTATACCTCTCTTATATACATATGTTTTTGCCTTTGGAATATACTTGTTTTTGAAAAATAATTCTAAACCAGGCACATAAGTTCTTTTTCAGTGAAAGGATTTTAAATTCAGGATTTTTATCAATATCATACTTACAATTTATTTATTCTAGCTTTTCAGAAGGTCATCTTTTTCCTAAAGCTTATAATGTCATGTATAAAAAGTTTAGGGACCAGCAGATGGTGTAACCACTGGATTCCCACATGATTCATGTCCTAGATCTGGTGGCTTAAAACACATTCTGGGCGTGTGTGCATGTGTGCCCAAAATTCTGAGAGGCGAATGGAGGAGAAGCGATTGCAGTGTGGCCATCCTCCCTAAGGGGGCGATTTCTCGCTTTCTGTCTCTGTCTCTCCAGTAAGTGTATGTGCCCTATAGCAAAAAAAAAAAAAAAAAAGTTTAGTCTACTTGATATCAGGACTACTTATTTTTTTGTTTTATATTTTCTTCTGTTTAATTTTTATTCACAATTAAAAAATTGCCCTTATAAATTATTTAAAAATTTAAGTTAAAGGCCTAGCCAAGCAGGAGGGCCACTTTATGATGCTGAAGCCATATGGGAGGCCTGGGTTTGGATCCTAGGTCAACATGAAGGTGTTGGATGTGCTTGTGTGCTGATCCTGGCTGGTTGGGATGCTAGGAGGACATTTTGGCATGGCAAGACTGCCAAGGGTGTGTGTGTGTGTGTGTGAAAAAGTATCTTTCTCTCTCATGAAAGAAGAAGTGAAATAAAAAGTTTGAAATTAAAGATTAGACTATAACCTATTTGTTAATGAATCCTGAATAATAATGTAAGATATTCTTTTGGCCCCTTAGTAAATACTCTGCTAGTTTTTATTTTGTTTTGTTTTTAATACACGTTCTTATTTAATTCTAAAACAATATTTTTAGTTGTAGGTTCTATGATTTCTATTTTATAGCTGAAGAAACTGAGACTTAGAGGGTTTTAAGTAATAAGCACAACATTGTGTCTAGCAAGTCTAATAGACCTAGGCTGTTAACTCCTGAAGTATGACTGCAGAGTCTTTGCGTTTAGCTGTTACACTATATTCTCCTTTTGTCATAAAAATGACAGAATTTCTGTGCCAAAAAGGACCTCAAAGATTACCTAGTTCAACTTCTTCACTCAGTAAGTGAACGCAGACGAGAAGGGATTTTAATTTGGCTGGTTAATAGAGACCCAGAGTAACAACATTTATAATTGGTGCATATTCCAGATTATTCCATTATTTTACTAGTCCTAGAACTGGTTGGTAATAAGAAAACCTCAGACCAGTTTCCTGGCCTGGTCATTAAGGCAGCTGGATCCCACTTGGCCAACTGCACAGTCTGAGTCCTAGGCCCAAAGCTTGAGAAACATGCCAGGCACGTGCGTATGCATATCTAAAATCCCAAAAAGGAAGGATGGATGGAGAAGGAATTGCAGTGTTACCATTGCCTATGGAAATTACTTTCTCCTTTCTCTCTGTCTCTTCTGGTGAGCGCATGCACCCGCAAGCAAAAGAAAGAGAGAGAGAGAGAGAGAGAACGAACCTCTATTCTTGTTCTACTTTTTAAGTACATAGAACAATGCTTTCAAAATATTTGTTGTTGTAATGAATGAATGAATGAATGTTCTTGTTTGTTTGTCAGAAGGTACCTGTGCTCACCAGAGAGAGACATAGGGCATGGAAAAAAACACCTTTTAGGTGCTATCAGTTGTCATGGTGGTTGAGGTGCTGGACTCCCACATGGCCAACTCTGGTTCGAATTCCGGACCTGGTGATTTGTATTTCCACTCTCCCTTTCTGTCTGTCTATCTCTGGATAATTATGTTGTTGTTATTATTTTTTAATTTGACCAGAGAGAAACAGAGAGAGAGAAAGGGAAAGTGAAAGCAAGCCTCCAGGTCTGGGACTCAAATCATGGTTGACCATGTGGGAGTCCAGCACCTTAAATACCAAACCACCTGCTGGCCCCCAAAATAAATAAATCTTAAAAAAAAATAAATAAACCCTCCAGTGGAGCATGGTCATATGCAGCTCTTTCTCCTCCATTTCTCTGTCCTGGCTGGATTTTGGACACACATATACATGCTTGGTGTATTTTTCAATCTGCTGAGTCCAGGATTTGAATTATGATTGGCCATGTGGGATTGCTCCTTTAATCACTGGACTGTGGGGCAGATCCATAAACTATCTAACTGTTGGCAGTACCTAACTTATAAGTAGGGCCTCTTGGTTAGATATGCTTTGTTGATCTGTCTCCTGGTTTAAAAGTTTGCTCTCATTCACTAAGCATAAAAGTACACAGGTAAAGAAGATAAGCTAAGCAAAGTTCAGCTCCAAAAAGGTGATAGTATCTAAAGTAACGAAGGCAAATAATCATTTATATAGCATTTATTGTTTTGGTTTGGTTGATTTTTTTTTTTTGTATTGTTTTGTTTTTGTTTAAATTTCAGCAGCAGTATATACCAATAGTAAGTAGAGTGATCTGAGAAAATTAAAAGAACATATTGTACGGGCAGAGGATACTCTCAAAGCTTAGTAGATAAATTTGGCTTTTTTTGATCCATAGATTATCAGACTCCAGAAAAAGAACTCGAACAGGAAGATCTTGGCCTGCTGCAATACCACATTTGCGGAGAAGAAGAGGTCGCCTTCCAAGAAGAGCACTCCAGACTCAAAACTCAGAAATTGTAAAAGATGATGAAGGCAAAGATGATTATCAATTTGATGAACTCAACACAGAGATTCTGAATAACTTAGCAGATCAGGAGTTACAACTCAATCATTTAAAAAACTCCATTACCAGTTATTTTGGTGCTGCAGGTAGAATAGCATGTGGCGAAAAATACCGAGTTTTGGCTCGTCGGGTGACACTTGATGGAAAGGTGCAGTATCTTGTGGAATGGGAAGGAGCAACTGCATCCTGACTGTAGGACTGAACATTATGTTCACTGCACTCTGGTTTTCTGTAGGTACAGTTCAAACCCCTAAAGAAGTCTGGCTTTTACTATCTTTCTTAAAAAAAAAAAAAAAAAAAAAGTTTAAAAAAAAAAATCACAAACGGAGATGAAACTAGCCTTAACATGTACCTGTCAATGTTATGGATATTGTCATAAAAAGATATCTTTTAAAAATCAGAACAGAGACTTAATTTTTTAAATCTTAAGATTTGTAGAATGTTTCTAGGATAGAATATTAAAAATGATTCAAACCCATGCATGGTGTTAGATAGTTTTTCTAACTATTCCATTGAGTCAGTTTTTGTGATTAGTGGTTATCAGAGCAAACAGATCATGTAGATAGCACAAGTATTTGGAGAAACATTGTCTGTTTTGTTACCAAAATGTTGGAAAAAATTTATTTCAATACCTTTTAGATTTCATAAAGTGCAGTGTATATAATGCCTACTGAAAGACTGTAAAATATTGAAATTTTCCTTCAAGCAAAGTGTAAAAAATATATTGAGCCTGTAAATTGCTCTGTGACTAGACTTCATTGTCGTCTTAATATATTCTTTGCATGTGCATATATATACACAGATGTGTATATATATGTGTGTGATTATGTGACCTATGCAATACAAATTATGGGAATGGGCAGCTTTGGAGTATATATCCCATAATTCTTTTTTCAGGAATAGTTGCAGTATTTACACAGCAGCATTTCTTCTCAGGCTTTTATTGGGTGCTGTTGCTTGCTATGTATGAAGAGAAATGTGTCAAACAAGTTTAGTGTGTTCTGAAGAAGGGTGTGAACAACAGTGTTCATGGGCTTTTAGAATGCTTTTCACTTTCAGTCCTTGTAACTCAGCTGTTCAGTACCTAAAACAAATTCAAATAATATGAACATTATCTCCTATTAGAAGTAACATTTTCAAAGTTTCATGGCACATTATGATTGTAAATGTCTCTTAGTTTTAACAGTAAGTCTATAGGAGTCCCGGGAAGATTCCTGAAATGTCTGTAGTAACTGTTAGTCATGTTTGAATAAGTGTAGTATGAACAAAGTATTTTATTGCACAGGGTTAACAAACAGTATGTTGCCAGCAAAGGCTACTGCTGTTTTATTACAACATTACCTCTTGTTTTTATAAAATGTACCAAGATTTAAATTGATAACTTTATTTTACATGTTAAAAAAAAAACAGTTTCTTTTATCACCAGTGTTAGAGTTGTCTTCTGTTTCTTTTTGTTTTGTTTTGTTTGTTTTCTTTTTTAGCCAAAGAGTAAACAGAAGAATATTCTTATTTTGGTGGCTGTTCATTTTACTTTTAAAAGTGATTGGTGGATTTTAGACTAAAATTTGGAGAATTTGCCACCAAAATGAAAAATATGTAAAGTGTAGTGATTACAGAGTGGTAAAAATGTGGGTTAGTACTTATTTATTCCATTAATTGATTATTTGACTGTTTATAAAGAAAGTTGCTTTATTTCTTTAAACATCTTCAAAAGATGATCTTTTCTTGTCACATTATAGCCAAAAGAAGCAGAGATCTACTTGTCCTGCATTTGGTTCCTGGTTGGCCAGGTATAAATGAGCTTTACAAAAGTGCAAATTAAAAACTGTCACTTCTGTTTACCTCCACCAAAACTTGATTTTCCCCTAGCTATTAATTTAAAGTTGCCTTTCCTGCAGCTGCAATATTTTAAATAACACACAGAGTTTGTGTTGATTTTTGAATGTTTGTTTATATCTAGGGGTAATGGAAAATGTAAATCCCGTGTAACCCTTTTCACTCCACCTGTATCATATTATTTCATTTTTCCCCAGTGTCCTTTAATTCTAACTGAACACCAGCAGTATTTTAGTAACTCTTTCTTTAACATATTTGGAAGACAATTTATCAAGCTGAACTGTCTTTAGACGTAATTATTGTGAATGTCTGTTTATTTTATCATGGTGGTTCACATGGCTCTGATGTTCAGTTTGTATTTTTGGAATTGCTTTACGTAGAATTAAAAACAGACCAACATTAAATGTGTGTATTTTTAAAAGAGCTAATGAGTTTTGCTTCTGTATTTGCTTGAAAATACACACGAGTGCAGTAGCTGACTGCTTATATTTACCTAGGGAGGTAGGAATTTTTCAAGCCCACTGCTAATATGTTCACTTAAATTGAACTTTATAAAACTTAGTTTTAATTTTTCTCTTGTCCACATAGAATATAAATAACTACAGCATGGTTATCTTAAATAATCTTCATTAAAAAAAGCCTCATTTAGCTAGCTTATACACTTTAGATTTAAAAGACAGTGTATGTGTAATCTACACTGTCCCCAAACATCAAAAACAATTTAGATTTTACTTTGCATATATGTTTTCTTTTCTTTTTATTTAACATATGAGGTGTAAGGGTTCACATAAGAGCATTTCCTTTTTTTTAATAGCTTTGCTAATAGGCTCCACAAGGAAAAGATGTAAAAAATATATACCTTATTCATTTTAATTATATTTTTATTAAAAACAATTTTATAAATATTCTGGTACTAAATAATAAGCATGGATTTTTAGACCTTTGGTTCAAATTAGAACTGATTATGGGCTATTAGAGTTATTCTATGAATTCTAATATAGGGCTGATGAAATCAGATCTTGTTAGGTATATTTTGATACTAGTTTTGAACAAGTGTTCACTGATAGGTGAGAGTTGAGGTATTTCCCCTACCCTCTTTTTGCAATGTTAGATTTCTATCATGTGTATATTAACAAAATGTCTATAATTAGTGTTGGGAGTTCTAAGAAATAACTGCGTTTTGGTATACTACTTTGAGTTTCTAGTAGATACTAGTAAATTTCAGTTGGATCATGGTCTTTCATACTTTTTTCAGACTACTTCATAATGTGGTTCTAGCGTTATTTGAGGGTGTAATGGCAAAGGCTCATGCAACTTTGGGAAATGGTAACAACCACAACAAAAATATCCTCTCTGTGTGGGGAAATTTTCTTTCTTTCCTAAATATTTGAGTACCTCTATGAATGCACCTAAGTCTCCTTTGTTTTTTTCTATGGCAGTCTCAGGAAAATAAAAATTTGGCTGTTAAATGTAAAGTAAGAACTTTATCTGATCATGAATGCTTTTTTAGAAAAAGAATAATTTATTATTTAACATTTTTTCAGTTTAATCAGAGAGAGAGAGAGAGAGACAGAGAGAGAGAAGGTGAGAAAGCAAGCTGCCAAGTCAAGGACTTGAACTGTGGTCATTCAAATGGGAGTCCAACACCTTAACCACCATGCTACCTGCCAGCCCTCATGGATATATATATATATATATATATATATATATTTTTTTTTTCCTTTCTTTCTTTCTTGAGATTTTTGCTATAGGGCTTGTGCACTCACTGGAGGGACAAAGAGAGAAGAGACAAAGTGAGAAATTACCCCCTGGGAGGATGGTCATGCAACGATACTTTCTCCATTTTCCTCTTGGCATTTTGGATACACATGCACATGCTCCTGACGTGAGTTTTAGGCCACTGGCTCCAGGACTCTAACTGCAGTCGACTATGTGTGAGTCCAGCGACGTAACCATTATGCCATGTGCTGTTATCTCATGGATGCTTCTTATTTGTCCAGCATCTTCAAGGAATGTGATGTATATTCAAGAGACTTTTCCACTGGATATAAGCAAGCAAAAAAAAAAAAAATGAACAAAACATTACATTAACAGATGATAAAATGTAGTTTGGGCCAGAACAAAAACAGGACATTTTCAAAATCATTAATCTACTCTCTGTTCTTCGTATGTACCAAAAAGTGTCCAGTCCCTTTCCCCCTCCCACTCTTTGATATGTGTTCCCAGTAGTGGTAATAATGTCCCTAAATTTAAGACAAAAATTGGTTTATAAGGTGGGTGGCACAAAAGAACTTAAATAATGGTTTGTGGCCGTCCAAAGTTCAACACTATGGACAAAAATCTTTATTCCTTAGTATTTAGTTACTCTTGAATTTTCTTAGGTATCACATGAGCAGTATTGATGGTGAGTTAGTGGAATGTACACAGAACATGTGTAGGATGGGACCAGCAGTTAGCATAATGGCTATGTCACTGGGCTCCCACGTGGTCGACCGCGGTTCGAGTCCCGGACCCAGGGGCTTAAACTCATGCCAGGCGCATATATGTACGTGCCCAAGATCCAGAGAAGAGAATGGAGAAGGGATTGTGGCGTGACCATCCCCTCTGGGGGGTGATTTCTCTCTTTCTATCACTCTGTCTCCCTCTGTCTGGCAAGCGCACATGCCCTATAGCAAAAATCTCTCCAAAAAAAAAAAAAAAAAGAGCATGTGTAGGATCAGTGCTATAAAAATCTGACAAGTGAGTGGCTATGTTTTGGAGGACGATTGCTTGATCTTGAAAATGTATTGCAAGAGATGGTCTGTGTACATTCCTGTTGGCCAGAGGCTTCCTTGTGGAGACTGTTTAGGTTTGCTCTTCAGTGCTTTTGTGTATGACCTGGGGTTGGAGAATTAAATAAAACTAGTTAATGTTTCGTTATTTGATTCTACCAAGGTTGTTCAACTCTTCATTATGTCAAGTAGTCTTTTTTAGAGTAGCTGAATGAATAACTAGCAGCTAGTTAGAAGTGATTTTTTTATAACATCTTTTTGAAGAATATATTGAATATTTCATGCTTTCAGGTGTAGTTAAGGCTGCTGGTTCCCACATGGCTGACTTTGTGATTTAAGTTTTGGACCTGGTGGGATGAAAATCACACTGGCGTATTACGGGCATGTTCAAAATCCCAGGAGGAGAGTTGGGGATTGTAGCGTGGCCATCCCTAATGCAAGGGTGATTTCTCTCTCTGTCTCTTTCCCCCCATGCTGTAGACATGCACCTTATAACAAAACTTGGGGGGGAGGGGGAGTGTCCCTGAGAAAGTATGCTTAGCTATTTAAAGGTGTCAGAGGGGGAGAATTTAAGAGAAGGGAGAGAGAACTTGCCTGGCTGTGGAGAACATTTGGAAAAAAGAATTATTAGGGGAAGATTTCATAAAGGTGGAATTCAAGTAGTAGTATGAATGATCTGCACTTACAAAGAAGGGACATTAGGACATTAGGACATTCCAGGGTGCAGGAATAGAAAGCAGAGACATTACATGCATGCAAGAAACGAATGGGTGAGTTTGGGTAGTGTGGCATGGGTAAGGCTGAAAATAATCTGGGTTCTAATGGGCCTGATCGCTATGCTAAAGTGTATACTTTTCATTTATGGTTTTTTTTTTAATTTGTCAGAGGGTGCTTGCACTCACTAAAGAGATACAGAGAAGGAAAGTGAGAACACCCACCATTTGGAATAGTCACGCCACAATCCTATCTCCATTTCTCCTTCCTTTTGGTATTTAGGGCATGCATGTACATGTGTCCGATGTTTCTCATGTTGTTTGATCCAGGACTTAACCGCACCATTGGCCATGTGTGGTTCAGGAGCCTTAATTGCCATGCCACAGGATGGCCCACTATGTGAGGTATAAAGCCAGTTAGAGCTGTTTAAATCAGGTAAATCTGTAGTAGAAATAGTAAGAAATTTTGAAAATAAGTAAGAGAGAGATAAGTTATGAGGCTGTGAGATGCTAATGTTAATTATTAAATTTGAAGGAGTAGAAGAGGAGTAGGCTTATTCAAACAAGAAGAAAGGAAGATGGATTTGATGTATTAAGAGATTGATAGTGAAAGTAATGGATAAATGTTGGAAAACTCTTGACACAGTTTTGCATGGAAAAATACATCATGATGTTTTCGGTGACGCAATAATTAAAGCAGTGGAGTAGGACCAGATTTTGGAAAATTTTGAATACTTAGTAGCAGCAGCTTTTGTTAGCCATTTCATAGAAAGCTTATATTCTTTATTATTGCTGTTGTTATTTACTTTAGGTTTTTGCCATAGGGCATGTGTGCTCACTAGAGAGAAACAGAGTGGGAAAGTGAGAAATCACTCCCCAGGGTAAGAACATGCCCCAGTCTCTTCAAGTCACTGGGTTCAGGGCTTGAACCGTGGTCAGCCATGTAGGAATCCAGTGCTTTAACTATCAATCCATCTGCTTATTTAAAAAAATTTTTAGACAGATTTTTGCTATAGGGTGCATGTGTTCACTGGAGAGACAGAACAGTGATAAATCACCCTACTAAGGGGATGACCATGCTGCAATCCCTTCTCCTTTA